AAAGTACTCGTGTCTCTTCGCTATCTGATCGAATTTACTTTGACCGATCAGCAGCGGCACGCGACGTGTGAACAAATTTCAATGCAGCTTCCATTCATCTCGTAATCTCGCGTGTTAACACTCGGGGCCTGAATGATTCGCAGCGAGAGGACTTTCCATCGATTTGAATTATTTTTTTTCTCTACGTTTTTTATCACTGTGAGAGAAAAACCTGTGTTTACAAAAATTCGCTTCTCACACTGGGCCGTTATACTCTCTATACACTAGCTCCTAATCGTTATTAACATGTTATACACACACACAGACAGGCTGATATGCATCGTTGAATATTATATTCGAAGCGGGTATTTCAATTATGAAAGGATACATGATTATACTGAAACGATACATTTTAATGAAAACATTACCACCACGCCTTCGATTATGAAAAAAAGAGAGAGACAGACGGATCGAGACCATGCGTGTGTAAAAAATTTAATAATAAAAAAAAAATAAGTAACCAGAGCACAAGATGAATTATGACAAGCTAAGGTTAACTCGATGCCGAGAGATAACGAAACGCGAATTACGCAAAAATAATTATCAGCATAGAAATTCGAAACTTTTTCTCCTTGCCCCGCAATGCTAATCGAATCTGTTAATGAGTGAATGTCGTCGTTCCGATTTTTTTTGTTTTGTTGTGTGTGTGCGTGTGTGCTGAGTATGTGTCGTTACCAATAACGACAGCGGCAGACATTACACTTTATAATTCATGCAAATTTTCGCAATCGCATGAAATTGTGTTTTTTTTTCTTTTCTCAAAAGAATATGTCGCTATGGTAAGTAAGGCTTTTACTCTATTTGATTTCTAATTGGCGCGTCGCGTTTAATTTTGCACGTGGCTCGAATTCTCCAATTAATTAAGTCGAATTGATTATCGTGTAACTTTTCGGTAAATTATACCGAATAACATCGAGCTCTCGCGAGCAGCAGCAGCAGCAGTGGCAAGTGTAATGCATCATTATACACGCAGCCCAAGCAAGAGAGTGGAGTGTATATCATCGTAGCTGTCAAGCAGCCGATAAATATCGATAAAGCACCGGCAGTGAGAGATATGAAAATGACGAAAAAAAAGTAAGAGAAAAAAAGGAAAAATAGATGTGTATATCTACTATGGCGCGGCGGCGCAGCTCCAGGGCAAAAATTCATATTATAAAGACAACGACTACGACGACGACGACGACTACTTTCTCAGGACACGCCTCGGATATGCATAATATCGCATACATAGCTTTATACGCGAGAGCATTAGCATAAACGAGCGAGTAATTTTCATTATAAATTCACGCGCGCGCTCGGATGTTTCAATTGATCCTTCCGATCGGCAGGATTTATTGGCGCGAATTTTTGCCGTGTTTTCGGCCGGCTGCAGAGAGTACGCGAGAATGCCATCTCTTTCTCGATGTCTCACTCGACTCGTACGATTTAAGAAACTAATAATCGACGATCGCTTAAAAATTGATTTACAATCCAGAGGTATAGACGGAGACGCGAGAGTATGAAAAATTATTACATTAATAGGATAACACGGAGAACTGTCCAGAAATGAGAAATGAAGTGACATTTTCACGATTCAGATAAATCGCCGAGCTTTGCAAACATTGTCTCGAGTCGTTACATTCCACCGACTCGCAGTGATATATCTTAACCAGCTTATAATATAGACCACAAATGTTTTTCGGCCAATTAGCAATCGGCACACGCGCGTTGTGCAAGGGAAGTAAAGTCCGTAGCCGCTGGTGTGTGTGTGTGTGTAATTTGTATCATACATAAGCAATCGATAAACAGGACCCGTCACAATGTGATCGAGTCCGAGTTGGCGCGGTTGTATAGCAGCTCTGCAGCATGTAACCGCGTTTCGCGTTACGCAAGGCTACGCGCGCACATTATATTACGGCGCGAGGTCCACTATCACTTTCAGCCCGCGAGTGCCTTATCCGATACATATCTCCTCGCTGTATGCCCATTATGATCGATGGTGCATTCATAGCGCGGAGCTCCTTTGAGGGCTTAATTTTCGTGGATGTCGAGAACAAAACTAAAAATAGAGAGACGAAAAATTCCTAATCTCGCACGCATCTTTTATTAAGGATGTGATATATATGCACGGTATCCCGGGTGTTTCTGCATCCTGGGCTATATCGTACGCGTATTGATTTATTTTACAATGCTGGTGTTTATGTATAAACCTGCCAAGAGCGAAATATCCGCAAGAATAACAAGGTGTTAAATAATCGCCTTACATTTATAATTCTGGATTAGCTTGTCGATATATTTTATCGGAGAAAAAAAAAATTAAAATAATAATAATAATGCGAATTCGTTCAATATGAATTATATTTCGTAATCGTTATTAATAAAGATATTTGGCCGTTCGATACGTCAAAACTTTTCAGATTAAATAAAAAAGACCTTTTTTCCATACAATTGAAACCGTTAGCCTTGGCATAGCTGCTGTGTAGTGTGCTCTTTCGTTATTTTCTGATTTTGTGCATCTCCGAAGAATGGAGTGCCATCGAGGTCGATTATTTCGACGAATGCGAGACGCGCTAATTATTAGCGTCTATTTGGATAATGGGAGTGAAACTAGACAATCATAAATGCATACGTGACATTAGCATTCTTTTTTTGAATCATTATTACGACATATTCTTGAAAAAAAAAGATTTTTTATAAAAAAAAAAAAAATTCTAGAAAGAAAGCGAGATTCGCTCGATAAAAGATTAGAAACAGTTATAGAGCTTTATCAGCGCGTATACGGGGGGTCTAAACACGCGCTCGCGCACGATTGACAAGTTGTGAAACACATGTACACTCTTGACCTATCCTTTGATTTTCAATGATAAATTCCTCATACTGGCTCGTTTTTTTGTATTTTTCTCTGCCTCTGATACACAATCATCTCTCGTTACCACTACGTGCATCAATGGAAAAACACGTATAATATACTTAAGAATCCTCTCACGGTGTCAGTATCGCGATTCGGTATGTGTATATTGCGCGGGTGAAGCTCCATGTTTACACGTATACTTAACGCTTCGCTATATATACTCGCGGCCGAGGCCGTAAATATTTTGACTCTCGTTGGGACAAAAGACTGCGCGTATGTGTAAAGTCCGTCTTAATACACACGTGTACCGAGTGTACGTATAGGCGTGCGCGAGTACACGAAGTACCGAGAATAAGTTTTATCGCGTTTCAGGGAAAATATTTACGGGGCAGGTAGTGTTATGTCATTTTTTTCTCTCGTTCTTATCATTTTTTTTGTTGCTTTGTGTACCACTTCGAGCCCGCAGCCTGAAAGACTTTTGTAATTTTCCTGCGCAACTCGTGCGCGTTACGTTCTACGCAGGTGCGAGTATTTATCACCGCGTATGGAGCGCAGCGATTGAATTGATAATGCGGTTAAAGAAAAATAGGAGTCAAAACACAACAATCGACGTTATAGTAAACAAAACATTATACTCGTTTCATAACGTAACATTGCTCGATGTTGATCGTTTTTCCTATTTTCCAAAGCGTCGATCGTTACAAGAGCCAAGAAATAAACATCGAACGGACGAAAGTAAGAGTAAACAATCGAGCCTCTCGTTACAGCTATGTGTGTAAGTCGCTGGCACGAGGATAGGTCCGTGTAATAAAGAGGAAAAGAAAATTCAGACAACCCGTGTGCCCCGAGGGCGGCGTATATTAATTTTCATTACAGGATTTATATACGGCAGCGCCGCTTTCCAACGCGAAGCGTTTCAACGTCCTATTACATATAGACGGTGTAAGAGCGCGGGAGTTTATACTGTACAGTCGGACTCTCGTCGGCATGAATACAGTTAGACGAGAGCTTCGTGCGAGTATGTTATAGCATGTGCGCGTACGCGCGCAAGTCGACTCCGCTTCGCGTATTTAAACCACAAACACTTCTTCGGCGCAACGTTTAAAACTCAGAAGTACGTGTGCGCAGCATTACGCGCCGTTGCTTATGTATATATATGCCCGCGCGTTTCTGTCGTGTTGCGCGAGAAACGATACCGATCCCTCGTCGTCGACCGCCCCCCCCCCCCTTCTTNCCCCCCCCCCCCCTCCTTCCACGGAGTAATTCGAGATATTTACGCGATCGTCTATATAAGCATTAATACGATTGAAAAAAAGGAAAAAAGATAATAATAATAAAGAACCGCGTGCGTCTAGTATTTTATCCGAGCCGATTTTTTTTTCATTTATTTTTATCCGGTTACGTAAAAAAATTCGCTTCGTTGGCGGATTGACGCGCATTATAATGTAATACGTCGTACTTGCGCGCAAAATCTGCATTTATGAAATAAAAGCTCTGATTAACGAAGTAAATCGGAGCATGAACAAAAGCTCTCGTCGATCGTCATCATCTTTATCATCGTCATCAGCGACGCGTCTCGCTTTTGTTTAATATCCATTATTAGTATTCGTAATACAACAACGAGAACAAAAGCTCGCGACGCGAGTGAAAATTTTCGTACTTGCCTCCAAACGCACAGAAAACACTGACATGCAGCAGCGCGAGTCTAGAGAGAGATCACGTGACCCGTGTGTTGCGCATGTGGCGTACTGCTGCTGTGTATCCTCGTATATCTATAGATATCGATATTGGCTCGCGAAGGCTTCGTCGTCGTCGTCGTCTTAGCGATAGCACCACCACCAATACATAATCAGCTGCTCGTGTTATTGTTAACTCACTACGATGCACGACTCCTGTTTTGCAGTTCGAATTTAATGCCATACAATAACACAAGCACAAACTGTATATGTGATACAGGCAAACTCGTTTCGTGTATAGCACGCACACAAAGTGGCGTTCCGCGACTCCGAGCGCGAGAGAGAGACGAAGAGCCAGTCGCGCGTTTGAGGTTATTCCAACGTTTTTACCATCGGCGCTTCGCATTACTATCTATCCTACGCCTATATCGATACATCTATCGTGATATTTTTACCTTGCTTTAGGTCTGGCCCAACGTAGAGATTCGTACGTATCCACGTCGTCTACTTGTCTCTGTAGCTCGACGACGATCGAATCTCGACTATTTTTTTTCTTTGTTTTGACTCTTCTCGTTCTGTTCTGCTGCTGCACTGATCTGTCGCGCACTTACATGCTCTTTTGGAAAACGTACTACTACTACTACTACGACACACACACACGGCGCAGCAGTCTCTGCTCTCTGTTGTGTTGTGGCACTGAATTTTGTTTACTATACGTTACATGTAGCAGTCACCCACGCATACGCACGACGGACGATGCACGAACGACAACAACACAGCAGCACATTCGCAAAAGTTTGTCAATCTTGAACCGAAAGTCGTTGCAAAGTGTCAAATGGAAGAGAATGACTTTCGCGAACGTACAGAGAGAGACGGAGAGTCGAAAAAATACACGGACACGCGTTTGCGCGTGAAGCCGAAGACGGTCAAAGACTTTGCTGTATGTGTGTACGTATGTATGTATGTATGTATGCATGTATAACGTACTGTTGTGTGGCCGCGTTGGTGCTGTTGCTACTCCGCTCTCGCTCTGTCTCGTGCGCGAGCTATATAATATATCGAAATGTGCCAACAACAACGGACTGATATAAACACACACACGCACACTCACACGCACACGCACCGAGTTATGCTCTTAAATCGTGTACTACATAGAGAAGAAGATATACATAAACACAACGTGCGTATGTATACATACATACTGTTTTTCTCGACACTTGTACACACACACACGCACGCACACAGTAGTTGGAGCAGCAGCAGCAGCAGCTGCACGAGCAGAAGAAGCGTAGTTGTGTAGTATAGAGCGGAGGGGAATCTCGCGCAGACGAGAACTCCAAGGCTCATGCGCGAACTGACTCTCTGCCTGTGTGCCTGTGTGTCGGTGTGTGCATATGACGTGTATATGTACGCGAGAGGCTAACCTGACGCTATGTATGTGTGCATGCAGTGCAGCCAGAGAAGGGGTAGAAGTATAAGCTGCAGGCGTTTGTGTAAGAGAGTCTTTTACCCGACGAGAAGGTGACTCTGCTGCTGCTTGCTGCTATACGAGCAAGACAGAGACGGATAAGTGTACGAGAGGCCGTTACGCGTAGGGGAAGGGGATGCACAACGAAGATATCGCGAATATATATACGATATCGCTGCAGGTAAGTCAGAGCGGCCGATATATACTGCACTCCGTAATGCATACGACGAGTGCGAGACTAGCCGCCTTCGTTCGAACGCGTACGTCTATCTTTTTCTCTCTCTCTGTCTCTGCGGCCGTTAAAGCTCTTGGCGCGCGAGCGCGCTCGACTTTGAAAATCGGATTCTTCGGTATATCGAGCGATTGGGATTGTCATCGAGTGCTACTGCACTGTCTCTCGGTGCTGCTGCTGTTTTCGTTATAGAATGAAGATTCAAGATGGAAAATCCAGCATCGAACCAGGTCGGTGGTCGTGATTTCGGATGCACGAAGTAAAGAAAACATCAAAGAAACTTTCGATCGTTTTGGAATACATTTCAAAAGCACCTGCGCATCGGTCGTTCTAGGAGCACGAAGATGGTGCAGTTCGTGGTAATAGGAGTGCGTCAACGACGACGACAAGAAGCTCCAAAGCAAAAGAAGGCCTCTACGGATTTATTCTTCGCTGCCTTACACCGCGTACACCACCATAATATATTAAAGGCAGAAAATATATAGATAGGAGGTTGCAAGCAGCCCCCCGCTAATAACGACGCCGTCGCCACCACCACCGCGCTCGCACATTATAACGTGCACACGGGAGCGCATGTGAGCTGCTCTCGCGTGCAGAAGCACCTATATACCTCTCTGCACAGGCCTACTATATAGCAGGCAGGCAAGGCAAGGCGAATACGAGCGAGCGGTGCTGTGTCGGCGCAGCAGCAGTGTGCTGGTTAGCTCTGCTGTGCTGCTTCGCCTGATCGCAAAGAGTCGCGCGCCACGGCACTCAGTGCTCTTGTAAACTTTGCCGATCGCATATCTCTCCGACGACGACTCGCATATTATACGTGTGTTGTATATATACTTATTATCTGCGACGACGACGACGACGACGAAAAATCGGAGTGTGCGTTTTCGTATGGAGAAACGAGAATGATATTACTTTTTTGCACAGTCACAGAGAGAATAACAAAATAAAATAAACGATTGTCTTAATCAAGTCGAATATAAATAAAATATATTAAAAACAAAAACAATACATGTATTATGCCGCTGCCGCTGCTGCGTCCAACGGTATTATCGTCGTCGACGCCGTGCGTCGTTGTACTACTACGCGCGCTTATCTCGCTCGTGCGTCTCTCTCGTCGGGCGAAATTTACGACGACCAAGACGACGAATGAGAGCAGTTGCTCGACGTCGATTCCGAGAGAGGCTTTCTATACTCTCGCCTCGGCTCGATTCGATTCGATTCGACCGACGATCGTCGAGTGTTTGACAGTTTCTGTCGGTTGAATTTTTTGCGTTTCGTTTTGAATCGTTCGATTGTTTCATTTCTAACGTTCACCGGTTACGACGCAGTGTTCGTGTGTGTTTGTGTGTGAGGAGTGAAACATTTGCAATACACACGAGAATATAGAAATACGTACTTCACCGACCTTCGTCTCCCTCGGTGTTGTTGTTCTTTTTTTGTTTCTTCTAAGTACAACGATAAAAGTGCATCGTACAGTGTCGAGTGTGTGTGTGACTACTAAACACCGCCGATACACGAAAGTTACTCACGACGGAGAGAAGAGAAAAAGTGTGAAAAAGAAAGAGATAAATAAAATCGTAAACGAAGTTGTGCACTCCGTTCTTTTTTTTTTTTATTACATCGGAGAAAAGAAGTGAAAATCGGCACAGGCCCTACCTTGCACGAGTGCCACGCGTGTGCCGGTGTGTGTGTGTGACGTGTGACGTGTGTGTGTGTGTGGTGTGGTGCGGTGCGGTGCGGTGCAGTGTGCCCGGAGGAGGTTGACGCGTGGATTTTGAAAGCAGCATCCAGAGGCCAGCCCGACGCAATGCGTCGACGCTGCTGACGCAACGCGCCTGGATGCGTCTCACTCTAAACACGTGAGTAGAGCTGCTGCAACCTAACCCATCGACAACAACAACAACAACAACGATTGGCGCCTTCGCGCGCACATTTTTTTTGCTTTACTTTGCCTCTTAATATCTCGCAATTGGCGATAATCAACGCCCGCAGAGAGATCACGAGCAGCGCGAGAGAACCGATTTGAATACCGACGACTGATATAGATCAAAATCGGCCTCCTGCTCGATCGAACACACGTACTACACACTAAGCATTTTTACACGCACGCGCGAGCACGTATATAGTAATTATAATACGTAAAGCGTATATAATAAAACATTTTTTTTATTTATTATTTTTCGCTGCCACAGCAGCAGCAAAACACGCGCCCGTGTCCGCATGCACGTAGTGTGTATGTACAATCGCTCGGCGGCGGCGGTGGCGGACACATTAAGAAAAACTAGTTTGCATTGAAGCTCGTGTTGATATACAAACTCTTTTTTCTCTCTCTCTCTCTCTCTCTCTTTCCTCGAAAGATCGACTTTCGTCATTTAACGCGCGGCTCATAAGTACCCTAATAGCTCTCGATCTCTGTTGCTGCTGCTGTGCAGTGAGTGCAGTCGGCGGCTCGAAGGTATATTACTTATAAGCAGCAACACAAGACGCGGAGCGAGAGAGAGAGAAGCGTTTCTTCATCGGGGCAGAGAATTGCTGCTGCTATGGACCCTGGATCGTTAACGAGCCTTTGAATGTATATAATATATATTATGGATGGAGAGAGAGAGAGAGATATACTTTTGATCGATTTCCATATAGGCTAATAATAATCAAGGCATGTAATCTCGGGAATCGGACTCTACTACTACTACTTGTATGCGTGCGTGCGTGCGTGCGTATATACAAGCTCGCAAAACCGCCATATGGCAACGGTGCATACATACTTTTGCAGCGCGACTTGTTTTGTATCTTTCTCTCTCGCTCTCGGTCACTCGATTCTCGCGCGATAGTTTTCACCTCGTATTATGTGCGCGCATATGTATATTACTCACACACAGACACACATACATACACGGAGGTAAAAATATGCATATTATATACGTGCAGCTTGTGTGTGTGTGTAGACTAGCGCTATATATATCATGTGCAAAACCGAGTTTTCTCTGTGGCTTCCCAACTTTATGCCGCGCGTACGTACACACACGTACTCGCTCTTTAGACTCCAAAGACACTCGCACAAGCAAACGTGTGTGTGCACATGCAAGCGTAGTCGCGTATCTGTTTCTTTTCCTCCTTTCTTACGTTGATTTTTACCTATACATACATTAGCGCGCGCGCGCGAGCCAAGCCTAAGGTATACATATATAATATATCTATATAAGTGTATGTAAGCCGGTGCGGCCACTTGCTTTCTCGACGACGACGACGTTATATTGCATCCATGTAAGCATATGTGTGTGTCTGTCCACCTATATATCTATAGGATATATTATATATAGTATACATACATATAGGCAGCGGCGCCTTCCTCGCGCGCGCAGCCGAGCTCGCGGCATATTACCGCGAGGTGCACACGCACATGCATATTATAAGCGACACACACACGAGAGAGAGAGAGAGAGAGAGAGAGAGAGAGAGAATAATATTTTTTTTCGCGCGCGAGCTGCAGCGACCAGAAGAAGACACGAGCAGTGCACCGAGCAATGTACGCGCGTAAGTTAAAACGCGCGCGTAAATACATATCATATATATTCAGAGAGAGAAATATTTGTGGCTTTTCGCGCGTATTTTTTATTATTTAGTTTGCGCGCAGCTCCTCCTGGTACGTGTTATATATATGAATACCGAGCCTCGTTCGTAATATATATCGACGAGAGAGAGAGAGAGCGACGATCGACCTGCTACCGGTTTCTTTTTCTTTTTTTTTTTTCAATTTTTTTCCATCTCTCTCCCTTTTCTTTGCCTCGGCGAGGGCAATCACGTCAAATTAAGGTATTTATTAGCGTCGACGAATAATAATTTGTACACATAATATACAAACGCGTCGTCGTTGTTGTTATTATCATCCTGAGCGCCGCAAGTCTCGAGGCTCTCGCGTGAAATGATTAACTTTAGGCCGCATAACCGTGTACATATAGTTACACATCATTCTTTTTTTCTCCAAAAAAGAAAATATACAAGCGAAAGAGAATCCAGCGCGTATATTCGGGTGTCGGGCGCACGTACCAAGGCAGCAACCTGTTTTTTTCAAAAGCCCAACGAGTGAAGTATGCAGAGGGAGCGAACGAGGAGACGCGACTTCTAACGATCTCTCGATGATTCCAGTAGTCGTTGCGTCGAGGAGCTCAAATAAGTCGATGAAAAGACGCGTTTGAAAATTTTTCGCGTTACATTCGTGCGTGGCATATAGCGTAGACTCGCGCGCCCCTTCTATGGATAAAAAAAAAAAAAAAAAACAACGAGCACGAGATTTTTGGCTCAGACGCTCTCTCTCTGTGCTGTTCGGTGTATTCGGTTACACGACCCCCAAGCGCAAGAGCGAGCGAGTAAGAGAGAGAGAGAAAATGCAGTTAGGGGCTTTTCAAGGTTCTTATGTATACTACTTGGATGTAGCGTATACGAGCTCGAACGCAAAAGGGGATAAATGGCGGCGGCGGTGGTGGCGGCGGCGACGACGACGACGACGCAACGAGTCTCGCGCGTGCATCACG